CAAAAGCTTAAGAAAATTGGAAGGTCAGGATAACATATACATGATGTATAAAATTTCTCCTGAAATATATTTGAAAACAACACTGCATCTCTGGAATAATGCACGGCTGACGGGCTTAATTAGTGAGATCACAGAGTAGACCAGGCAAACAACTGTAATTATGACCTTGCTTTTCTGGGGTGTGCTCTGCAACCAGATACCAATAAAACGGCTGTCTCATCTTCAGAAAACTCCACAGTTTGGAAAAAGTCTTTCAGAATACACAAAAAAATGATGGAGCCAACCTAAAAGTGTCTATCTTGGAAGTACCATGCTTCATAATTAAGAGGAGCATAATAACGGGAGATTCTGGATTGATAACATAAAGAGATGGTAATTACTACAATGGGTATAAAATATGAGTCATAAACTCTACTATAGGGATGATCAGAATATTTGAAAATTTAGACAAGAGTTAATGCTACTGTTTTGACATCAGTGAACCAAAACTCTGCTATACTCTTAAAAGCTTATTGTTTTGATATCCAGAGTCATGAGACAGTGCCAGTGGTTGTGTTTTCTTGGCTAAGTTACTACACCTCTCTATATTTAGACTATGGGATCTCTAAATGTCTGTAATTCAACTCAAACGGTAGAATGATCAGGCGAACGGCTGGGAGGAAAGTCAAGTTTTAATATTTCTTATCAATGCACCATTGTCTATATGGTTAACCTCAGCATCTTTCAGCTTACATGGGCTCGTGGAGGCAACTAAAAATGTTAACATATTCAAAAAAAGGAAAGGCAATGGGCATATCATTATCAGGGCAATTTCCATGTGTGGTAACATAAAAACCCTGTTAAGCTGGCCATCCTGCCCGGGCAATTGTGAATGCACAGTCCAGACTGAGGCACCCAAAGCTGTCTCAGGACTCAAACTGAGGAAGATTTAAAGACGTAACATGGGACAGTAGGCTTTGCTTGTAATTCAGCACAGTAGTTGAGCCTGAATAAGACCAAGGATGGCAAGACTGTACAAGAGTCATATGTAATAAAGATTGAAAAAATCCTTTAAATGAGTTAAGTAACTGGCCACCAATAAGCACTAGGAAAGTTATCATAGTATTCAGTGTTTAAGACAGACTACAAATAACTACATAGACTAATTCCTCCAAGCACTGCTTCTTGATCTTTAGAAGAAACTTGAATAATAATAATCCCTGACTGACACATACTTTGAAGGTCAAAAAAGCATCAGAGGTCATATTCCAGATTCTTGCTCATCAAGGGTCAGAGGAGAGCTTTGAAAGACAAGAAGAGACTGCTAGGTATGGTAACTGACAATGTGCAAGATGGAACAAGGAAATCAGCAGTAACATTCTAATTTAGGATGGGAATCAAAAAAATAAAAAGTCAATCTAAGTATAGTTTATATCATTTATAATGTCTTCTAAGCATGGATTTTATGCTTTGGTGAATAACATTTACATGAACTTCAGAGCAGATCACTCGATTTTTTCTCTGGTCCAAAGGATTGTTGCTCAGATTTTTATAAAGAAATTTTGATCCTAAAAAGTGAAGGGTAGCAGAATATGCCACCCTTAAAAATGTCACTTTAAGGATTACTTTGAACTAAAGGCACTTTGAAAGCAGGAGGTGAAGGAAGGGCATTCTCCCCTCTTTTTTTCCAGAAAGCATAGATAAAACTTCCACGTGAAAGATGTTCTCTGTACATGGGAGGAAGGAAACATTCTCACCCAGCAGAGATGGGGAGTCGGAGCTGAGAGAACTCTGTACAAACAAACCTCGTTAAAACAACTCTCATCTTCCTTTAGCCTCCTCATATAGTTTACTTATTTTTCCACAATTGCCTCTCTTCGTTCAATTGCAAAAAAAAATGGCCACTTCTTTGGGTCTTCATTTGCCTTATGAGGGCTCTCTTGTCACATAAAACTTATATTAAATAAATTTGTATGCTTTTCTCCTGTTCATCTGTCTTGCATCTATTTAATTCTCAGACCCAGCTGAAAACTCTAAGAGGGTAGAGGTAAAATTTTGCCTCCCTACAAAAACAAGTCACTTCAATGAATTCATCAAGATTAAATGATATCTAAATGGACAAACTTTTTTTTTTTAAGATTTGGCTTAGACCAGCCATTCAACCTACCTGGAAAATTCTATAGCAGCTAAAAAGCTTACAACAGGAAATAAGCCAACTATTACTTCACCTATAACATGCATTAAAAGGAAGGTCATAGACATCTCTCGCTACATCTTAATTTAGTATGCATTTATTAAACTATCTTTAAAATTTTATCAGACTTCAAGTTATGTTTTGAGAAGCAGTCTCAAAGCAGGTATGAACTAAGAGACAGCAATCACTTAAGACAAAAATTGCAGTAAAAGCATCTGTATTTTAAAGCTACATTCATTTGATAGAATGAGAAAGGACTCGTAAGGCCTGTACCCAAGAGACATTATGGTTCTAAACTTGAAGAGTTTAGCTTAAACTGCTTGGCGACATTTACAGAAAACATTTGGACAGCTCATGCCTGCCCCACTCGCCAAAGTATGACACGTCTTCAAGTATACAGAGTCCACATAATTTCTTTACCATTCCCATCTCTAAAGTAACAACAAAAAAAATTAACTAGTAATAACACCACACCTTACATTAGTCCTATTAAGAGGCTGGCTCCACCCACTGTTTTGCAATCAAGAAATATTTCTGTCCTTTGAGAATTAAATTTGATTCAACTTTGTTACTACATAAGGCAAATATGTTCAGCCGCGGGGGAACTTTCTGGAGTGGCCTTCAGTTTGCCTTCATTACATCATTCCTACTTAATTCAAATGGTATGAGCTAGGATTCACTAGAAGTTCAAATATTCAAACCAAACATAGTTAACGATGGAGGTCCCAAACTTTAAGTTAAAGCCAAGTGGTCTCTCAATTTCTTTACATAATGAGACCCCGTCTCCGAAAACATTATTTATAAGATGAGCCTAATAATTTCCAGTAACCTCATAACTTTACCTCTAATCTTGTTAACTGCTGGTGTGTACTTGCTGAATGGCATCTAACATCCATCTAACGATCCCTTTGGGAGATCTTAAGGTTCTGCTTTCCTTCCTTGCAAAGTTCAAGCTTTGAATTTAGGCAAAAGTGCAAGGACATCCCATCCAAGCAGATATACACCAGGGTATGGTAAAGACTCAACATGTCCCCTTCCTGGCTGCACAGGTCTTTTGAACGATAAAAAGAGAAGAGGTGATACCCAGGAGGAAAACTCTTATTCATGATTTGCTTTCCCAAGTGTCCAAATGGAAGCATTTTTCCTTGAAGCTTAAAGACACAACTGTGCCATAAAAATCTAGTTATGCTTACTCATTTACCTGCCTGAAGTGGGACCCAATCACAATGTAAGAGCTAAATTCCACATTATTTTATACGAAGAATAAGGCAAAATCAACAACACCCCAGGCAGGGGTTTAAAATCATCTTCATGGAAACCCACGGCTACACTGAAGCTTCCTGGAGAAGGACAACCACATGGTAAAGGAACCTTTAGAGCCCAGGACTTTGTCAAGAAGCAACCCTACTGTTCTAAGTGTTCTGCGAAACAGAAGGAAGTGTTTTGAAAGAAGCCTCTGGCTTCAAAAGATGACTTTTCAAACGAACTTTTGTTTTCCGTAACCAAAAAAAAAAAAAAAAACAGTTGAGCCCAAGGCTGATTATACCCTTTCTCTGAGGGATTGACGTACATAAATTTATTCTCATATCTGAGGTCGAGAAGTCTGCTCTTAAATAAATGAGTATATAGGTTATAATTTTTTAATAGGTGCTTTCACATGTAATGAGCTGTTGATGAAAAGAGCGCTACCCAACAGCCAGACTTGTGTCCCCTCCCACTCTGCTTCCAGCTGGTGACCATATCTTCGGTTGATGCATCTGTAGGATGGAGGATGGTCTGTCACTCCAGCCCTGAACATGCTCGCATCTAAATGCTCTATTGCAGACCGACCTTCTTAACACGGATAATAACTGAACAGGGTAACTTTTGGTACCACTTCCAGATTTAAACTTTCCAGAAGTTAACATCTTTTTAAATGCCCACATCCTACCCACTACATCAGAGTTCAAGTTTTCATAAATTAAAACAAGAATATGTACCCTCTCAAAGAGGAATATTATGCTCCAAATTGACAATTGAAAGCCAATGGCAAGGAAACAGTATCTTTTGGGAAGAAGGGACCAAAAGTGGGGCCAGGGGTTGGTTTACAGAGAGAGGAAGGGGCAATAAGTTTCCAAGAGAAGCTTTCCCAAATCTTTACCTGGGTGGCCTGATTTAGAATGAGAGCATAGTATTTGAAGAATGGAGTTTCGCCCACAAAGAAGGGTCTCAGATCCAAAGTGGGTGACGAAAAACATTCTGAAAAGGAACCTGCTTTCTGTCAGGCCTGGTTGTGTCACTGACTAGGAGTGTAACTTTAGGTAAGTTATTCAAACACTCCACGTCAGTTCTCATCTGTGAAATGTTAAAGGTGAGAGAGAGGAGCGCCTCCTCCCTCTAACTCTTCCTCGTGTATGATAAGCTTGTTAGCCTTCAGAGTTAAAACTTCTGGAAAAGCCCCCCTGCCTCTCTCACCTCCTGTCAGGCGAGAGAGCGCTGGAAGAGGGCCTCCTTTCCATCTCTTAAAAATAAGAGGGCTTTCTGGAGACTTCGCAGAGGCATCTGACCAGGGTTATTTATTTATGCATTTGATTGTCTTGCTTTTTAAGTTCTTCCACTCCCACTGCCCGTTCCACTGTCCGGATCCCACTGGAGTCCACCCGACCACGTCCCCTGCCCTCTCCCTATTTCGTTCAGTCTCTTTCTTCCAAACGCACACAGGCAGGCGAGTTCAGGCAGAGCAGACGGAAGGAAGGAAAGGAGACGGAGGGGTGCCCAGCCGCCCCGGGCTCTCTCCCGACGGCTGGGACACCCGGGGACGCCCCCTTCCCGGCGGCCGCCCGCTTACCCGCGATGTCCCACAGCTGCAGGCGCACCAGCGTCCTGTTGTCCCAGTTGAGGACCTTGAGGGCGAAGTCCACCCCGATGGTGGCCCGGTAGTGCTGGGAGAAGAGCTGGTGCACATAGCGCTTGATGATGCTGGTCTTGCCCACGCCGAGCTCGCCGATGACCAGCACCTTGAAGAGGTGCTCGCGGGTCTCGGGCCCCGCGGCCGCCCCCCGGCCCGGCTCCCCGGCGCCGCCGCCCGCCATGCGCCCCGGCCCCTCGCGCCGGCCGCCGCTGTCGGCCGAGCCCTGGCTCCGCGCCGGGGCCCCCGCCCAGCGCGCCCTCGGACCCCGCGGCCGCCGTCCCCCGCGCCGCGCCGGCGACACCGCCTGACCGGTCACAGGACCCGGAACCGGCCGCCGCTCGCCGCCCGCCGCCCGCGCGGGGCGGGGACAGGGCCGGGGAGGACCGCGCCGAGGCCGCTCCCCGCCCCGCCTGCCTCCGGGAGGGCCGGCCGGCACGCGGGCGCCTCCCATCCCGGCCGCCCTCCTGGTGGCGGCGCCGCGGAGCCCGGCCGCCCCCTGCTGGCCCCGGGGAGCCGCCCGGAGCCCAGGCGGTTGGAGGTCAGCCTGAAACGGCGCTGAGCCGGCTGGTGGAAGCCCGGGGTCGGAGCGCAGAGGGGCGGGAGGGGCTGGTCCAGGGGCCGCCCCAGCCCGGAAGGCGCTGGCCTGGGCCTCAACCTCCTCCCCTGGATCTGCCCGGAGAGAGTTAACTCAGAGATCACGGCTTTTGATGCGTCCCTGGCGGCCCACTGTGGAAGCCGTGGAAGGAGTGGCAGAAGGACTCTGAAATTGACCAAAGGCTGATAACACTTTAGTATTTAAATGAAGAAGTATTAGGAAGAAGACGCAGGGTCTCCAAAACGATCTTATTGTACTTCCCTAACAAACACACCAAAAAGCCTTTTTAAACCTTCATCCGGGCGAGGCTCTGAGATAAATCCTGGGAACTGATTGAAAAGTAGTAGTTGGTACTGAGGCTTCTATTTTAAAGAAGAAAGATAGGAAGCCTTACCTTGCTGGCTGTGTTTATAAAATCGAGGGCTGCCCCCCCCCCCCCCCCCCCCCCCCGTAATATTTAGAAACACCTGGGGCTGGTAGGCTCTGATAGCTTTCCTAAACTGAAGCAGCTGCTTACCCTGTTCTCCTCACTCTGACAGTCGTTGAAAAATGTTTTTCAGAGGTGGAGGCGTTTGAAAATTTAGAAGTCAAGGTGGGAGTAAAACCTTTTCTAGAATAGCAATTGGAAAATCACAGATATGTCTCTAAAGAAGTTTTATGGCCAACCAGCATATGGCTTTGATGTTCACTCAACCAGAGAGAGCTTCCAGTATCTCTCCAGCTTGGGGAAGGAGCCAATCCTGATGATTGCCATCGCGCGGGATATTGTCCCATACATACATAGTAATTACCATGGGTTTTTATGGGTTCCTTCTCTAACCCTCCCAGGTTTCCACTGACATAAGAAATAAAATTGTGGTTCTAAAAACCATATGAGAATGATTTAAAATTAGAAATCGTCCCAGCTTGGGACCTTCGGTTCTCCAACTTGAGAGTTACGGGTTTGTTAAAACAGATTACTAGGCCCAAACCCAGTGGTGTTCTAATTCCGTAGATCTGGGGTGAAGCCAGATAATTTGCATTTCAAACAAGTTGCTGTGGGTCTAAGAGCACCGTGGTTTGGATCCAGTGCTTGCTTCTCAAACTTAAAAGTCCTTATGAATCATCTAGGATCTTGTAAAAGTGGCCGTTCTGATTAAGTATATGTGAGGTGGGGCCTGAGTTTCAGAATTTCAAATAAGTTCCCAGGTGATGTGAATGCCCTGAGGGGACCACACTTTGGTTAGCAAGGGTTAAGATTAGAATTCGGAAGTTCCCACATTTGCTTTGCATCTGACTCAGCAGATGTTCCGGAGTGAATTTTGGGTCCCCCCAAACTTTGTACGTTTAAATCCTAACTCCCGGTGTGATGCTGTTAGAAGGTGGGCCTTCCAGAGGTGCTTGTCATGAAGGTGGAGCTCTCGTGAATGGGATTAGTGCCCTTAGACAAGAGATTTCAGAAACGTCCTTCACGCCTTCCACCATGTGAGGACACAGCAAGAAGACAGCGGCCTATGAACCAGTAAGTGGGTCTCACCAGACACTCAGTCAGCTACTGCCTTGATCTTGGACTTCTCCGACTCCAGAACTGTGAGAAAGAAATGTTTGTTGTTTAAGCCACTGTGTAACCATGCTAATTTATTAAATCAGCCCAAGCTGACTAAGGCACCCGGGGGGGCTAGCTAGCTAACTTACCCAGACCTTCAGTCTTAATCTTTTAAAAGGAGAGCCCAAGAAGCTGTATTTAAAACAAAACAAAATAAACAACTGGCAAACATTATGCGCAAACTTGACTTACAGAACCACTGATTTAAATAACACCAAGGAGTGTAAGTAAGTACCCAACAATGTCTGCTTGTGCAGCGCTAGAGTGGAAAAGGTTGAGAGTTGGGTAGGGAGAATGGACAAGTCTTAGAATCCGGGGCTATTTTAGTGAGGAAACAAGTTTTTTCATAGATAAAATGAAGAGAAAATATTACGAGTAACCTGAGACTTGTGACTGTGAAAATAAGACTCTTTTAAACCAACATTTCCATTTACTACGTATAGGAATGGCCTGCTTGGAAAGCCACGCTGTGACGCTCTCTCGCACGTTTATTACGCCTTCTGTACTTGCTACGCTTTCTATCTGGAAGACATTGCAAACCATCACCCCACCCCTGGCTCTCCCAAGTAAACTCCTCCTCATCATTCAAGGGCTGGATCCAGGGATTACCTGCTCTTTTCACTCCAAATTTCCCTGGCAGGTTTATCCATTCATTTATTTATTCAAAAGCTTACGATTGTGCCAGGAAATGTTCTAGATACTCCAAGTACAATGATGAACGGTGTAGATAACAGTTGTGCTCTCACAGAGTTTATACTGTAGTAGAAGCAAGATAGATAATTAACGACCAAATAAATGAGATAATTTTAGATATAGATTTCATGAAGAAAATAGAATTGGAAAATGCCATTTAGTGAGTAATCATTGAACGAAGAATAAAAGTTACGCTAAGTAGCAGGCCTACTCTCAGGGGAATATTGAAAGTAGGTGTCAAGTTTCGCTTGTTTCCCACATGGATAAGCAATTGAAAAGACCATCCTTTCCTATGCCTCTGCAGGACCACCTTAGTCTTAAATCAAGTGCTCAGGTAAGAATAGGTCTGTTTCTGCTCTCTCTCTGCTCTTCCGTTAGTCTATGTGTCGGTACTTGCACCAATTCTTACCTGCCTTAATTACTGTCGCTTTATTATAAGTCTTCTTTTCTGGCAAATCATATCCTCTCATTCTGTAGTTCTTTTTCAAGTTTGTTGTAGCCATTCTTGTTGATTTGTTTTTCCACATAGATCTTAGAATCAGCATCTTAATTTTCATAAACACACCTTCTAAGAGTTTTGGTGGAATTACTTTGGATCCATAGATCAATTTGAAGAGAATTGAAAACAGTGAGTTTTCAAAAATATTGACATGGTATGTCTATCATTTATGTAGGTCTTAATATCCTTTAATAATATGAAGAGGTCTTGAATTGTTTGTAGTTGGTATATAAAAATAAAGTTAATTTGTGTAGAATGAATTTAGGTTTAATGACCCTGATAAATCTAAAAGTTTACTTATAGAATTACATTTTCTGTGTACAGAAACGTATTTTCTTTCTTACTTTTAATCTTTATATATTTTATTCCTTTTTCATATTTTATTTCACTGGCTAGGACTTCCAATATAATTTTGAATAAAAATGGAGATAGTAAGCAACCCAGTGTTTGAGAGAAAATGTTCAACATATGCCTATTATTTTATTTTAATAAACTTTTCATTAGTATTATATTAAAATAGTTTTATATTTACAGAAAAGTTCAAAGATAGTACAGAGAGTTCCTATGTACCTTATACTTAGTTTCCCCTGTAGCTAATATTTACATTAGCATGCTGCATTTGTCACAATTAGTGAACCAATAATTGATAAAACTAACTGAATTCCGTACTTTATTTAGATGTTCTTAGTTTTGACCTAATGCCCTTTTTCTGTCGGCCAACACTTAAGGAGTGGGGAGTTATGCTCCACCCCCACTAAGGTCAGAATCTCTACATAAATTATTTCGAATTCTTCTACACAGTAGATTTATCTCTTCTCTCCCGTTTATTCATCTATTCAATCATTTATTTATATCGGTTTACCTGGAATTGATGTTAGAATAATTCTGGACTTATAGAATGAGACAGGAACTGTTCCCTCTGCTTCTATTTTCTGTAAGAGATTGTAGGAGACAACGTATTATTTCTTCCTTAAGTATTTAGTAGAATTCACCAGTGAAACTATGGGCCTGGTGCTTTATTTTTTGGAATTTTATTAACAAATGATTCAATTTCTTTAGTATCCATTTAGTATTGATATTCAGGTTATCTGTTTCTCCTTGTGTGAGTTTTGGTAGTTTGCGTCTTTTAAGGAACTGGCCCATTTCATTTATGTTATCAAATTTGTGGGCATAGGCTTGTTCATAGTATTTCTTTATTATTCTCTTCCTGAGCTGGGTAGTGATGATTCCTCTTAATTTACGATGTTGGTCATTTGTCTATTTTTCCCTTGGTTAGTGAGGCTAGATGTGTGGTTTTACAGATTTGTTTTCCAAGGAGCCAGCTTTTGGCATTACTGATTTTTCTCTATTGATTTCCTATTTTCCATTTTAATGATTTCTGCTCCAATTTTTATTGTTTATTTCCTTCTGCTTGCTTTAGGTTTAATTTACTTTCCTTTATCTAGTTTCTTAAGGTAGAATATTAGGTTTTATATCTTTTTAAACATGAATTTAATGCTATACTTTTACCTCTATGCACTGCTTTCACTGCATCCCACAAAATTTGATAAATTGTGCTTTCCTTCATTTAGTTCAAAATATTTTAAAATTTATCTTGATCCTTCTCCTTTGACCCATGGATTGTTTGTACGTATGTTAATTTTCAAATATTTTGAATTTCCCAGCCCTCTTTCTGTTACTGATTTCTGGTTGAACTCTAGTATATCTGAGAACATAGCTGAATGATTTCTGTTCAATATGGTAGCCACTAGCCAAATGTTAGCAATTTAAATTTAAATTAATTAAAATTAAATGAAAATTTTAAAGTATTTCCTCAGTCACACT